CCGCCGCAGCCTCAACCGCTGGTTCCAGCAAAGGGGACCACCGCCGTTCTCGCCGCCGCCGCCGCGTGTCGAAGCGGCCTCAAACGCCGCGCCGCGCGGCCGCCGGGGCGCTCCTGCCCCGCCCTGCGGCGTTGCGCCAGCCCCCTGGGTTTGTCGCCCGCCCAGGGCTGCCCCCTGGGTCCTCCCACCCCACCTGCAGGTATATCTCCAGCGTTTGGCCGCTGGGGTGGAATATATAGGCCGCGGGCAGCCCGGAGTCTGTCATGTAAAACTCAATAAATCCGTCTATGCCGTGGCGGTCGTTGAGGTCCTTGATGTAGCTGGGGGGGGGGGAGCAGGGGTATGTGTGGGCGCGGGCAAGTGCATATGTGCGTACCAACGTGTGACGTGGGTGCAAGGGGTTGGAAGGGTGGGATTATGTGGGTGGAGAAGTTACAGGGGCGCAGGGAGAAAGGAGGAAAGGGGCTGGAATGCTTTACGGGCAGACGCAGCCGGCAGGAACGCTGCGCGAGGCAGTCCACGGCTGGGAACCCGTGCACGAGGTGCGGCTCACGGGTCGGTGTTGCGGCGGGTTCGGATCTCGTCCATACTCAGCGGGGCTGCGCGCGTGGGCGCGGCGATGCATCGCCGTCCTCCAAGGCCGCTGCTGGGCCTGGGGCCGTTGCTGCTGCTGCTGCCGCCGCTTAGGTGCCACTGCCGCCGCTCCTGGCGTGGCGAGCCTGCAGCATACAGGGGCAAGAGGTCAGCACGCCGACTGGCATATGATCTTGTATCACAGCTTTCATACATACCTGAAGCTCTTGCCACTATAGGGCGCTGCTGGGCCACAGATCGATGCAGCAGGAGACCTGTGGGCCGCTGCCCCGGCAGCAGCCCCCTCGATATCATGGCTGAAATCCCACTTCTATAATACTAGTGTATTGCTCGGCACTGATGGCTTCAGATCACGCCGCCTTGGTGGTGACGAAGCAAACCGCTGTCACTCGCTCGAGTTTGAATGCCGATATACGGTTGATGTATCAGTGATTATGTGAACTGTATCGATTCGACAACCAAACGATCCTGTATACTACCGTACGGTGCGGCACATTTTGACAGCAGTGCCTGCAAGACCTGGCGCGTTGATAGCACAAACGACAGCATGGACCTTCCATCCGAGGTGGTGGAGCAGCTGGGGGACATTGAGGTGGGCATGCGCTGTGCACCGTCGCAGCGGCCCAGTTGCAGCCGTGGGTCACGAGCAGACGCCCCCCGCCGCCGCTCGACGTGCACAACCACGGCTGCAGGAGTCGCTGGACACGCTCTCCGGCTTCCTTCAGCCATTTCTAGACGCGACACCGCGCGATTTAGAAGACGCGATGCCGCCGCTGGAGCGCGCGCGCGCGCATGTGACGCTCGCTCGGGCCGCGGTGCTGCTGGCGCGGCTGCGGCTGCGGCTGCGGGGGGAGGCCCTGGAGGAGGGACACCTGCTGCGCAAGGAGCAGGTGCACAACAGCATACCCACTCGCAGGCGGCAGCGGCCGGGCGAGGGACCAGGGGCGCATCGCGCCACACATCAGCTGCTTGTTGCGCACGTGGGGCATGTGCCTCGATGCTCGTTTGCCCCTCACTTGCCAAACTAGGGCGCCTCCTTGCATCCGGCCCATTGCTCTCTTCGCCCCAAAAATATCACTCACCCCTGCCCTTCCCTCCGACTGGCCCAACCGACAACCCCAAAACTGGCCAGGAGCGGCTGCACCGCTACGGCAACAAGCTGCGGCGCGCCGCCAACGAGGACGAGCTCGCGCGGTCGCGGCCCGGCACGGAGCTCAATGTGGCGGCAGCGAACCGCTTCATATCCCAGGCCATCCCGGACCTGACGCCGGAGCAGCGGCGGAGGCTGCGCGAGCAGAACGCGGCGGGCCGCGGGGACGGGGAAGCGGCGGCGGGGGCGGGGCGCGGCGGCGGGCGCGGCGGGCGCGGCGGCAGCAAGCGGGCGAGGGGTGAAGAGGCGGCAGCGGCGGCGGGCGTCGGCGGCACAGGGATGGGCTCGGACTTGGAAGAAATCTTGGCTGCGGCGGTGGATGGTGGCACTTAGCAAGTAAATCAATTGCTGCACGCCACACCCTTGTTGGCGGCTCCAGAGCGGGTCTGATCACAGCTACACATGCAGGTTGCGGGCGCACTACCGAGCCAGTCCCGCTGTGCTGCAGCACGTGTGCACGCGTTGATGCAGAGGGCGGGCCGACGTGGCGAGCGTCCGCCCTGCCTGGCCTGGCATTGGCGGTGAGTCAACAGCACCTGGTCTTGCACCACTGGGAGTGGTGCAGGTCGCTGCTTCGCTGTGCACTTCCAAGGCCAACCAGCAAAAATCGATGGGACCACCTTGGCGGCCCTGCAGCGACCCAGGGGAGCCACTATGAGAGCGCTCCTGCAGGTTGAAGGCAGCCCCGATGTTCGATATACTAGCCAGCATGCATGTTCATAATACCAGACGGCACCACAGGCAGTGAAGCACGCAGTGCGCCCCAAAGCACCCCTCAGGGTGGGTCTGTCTTTTTGCTATTTTGTGTACACCACCTTTGCTTTGTGCTTTATCGCACCCGCCCTCTGTCTCCTATGTTTTGCTTTGCTTTGTGACACTCGTCCAGCCTTGCTAGACTCCTCACAGCAGTGTCACCAACCAGTTGGAAAACAGGGTCAGCATGCACAACCGCTGCCCAGCACCGTGACAGCATGAAAACAGCACCACGTGGTTGGACAGGAAGGCCGCGTCAAAAAAGAGACATTGGAAAACGCAGAAGGACAGGCGAAAACAGCACATGGCACTCACCCAACAGATATGCGTGGCCCCCGGCCCTGGGGCCTCTCCAAGGCGCAGACGCGCCGCGGGTTTGGCCGCCTGCACTGCACTGCACTGCACTGGAGTACCAGGAGCCGCTGACTCGACGCACTGGTGGGAATAGGGCAGACTACCGTGAAAAGATGTACAGATCGCGTAAAACACACAACACAACATCAACACAACGCCATGAAAACAGCTAGCCTCGCTGCGCGCAGCGCCCCCCACCCCGGGCCGCGCCGGCCGACGGCAGGGCCGCACGGGGCCGGTCCCCTCGGATGTTGAGCGGTCATGGCGCGTCCTTGGGGCCGACCCCGCACAGCACGGGTCTGCACGCCAGTCAAATTCTTTGCTTTGCTTTGCTTTGTTACAATCGTCTCGGCTAGCTAGACTCCTCCCGCCACTACTGTGACCAACCGGTGTGAAACAACAACAGGGGTTAAGCACAAACTAGCCGCCCAAGGCAGGCGGCAACACATGTAACAACATACCAGCCAAGACAAAGCTGCAGATATGCAAACAGAGCAATTAGGGCGCACTGCACACAGCCAGGAGACATGCCTGGCCCTGGGCCCTGGGGCCTCTCCAGGGCACAGGCGGGCCGCAGGTTTGACCGCCTGCGGCGACGGTAGCGCGGTATCCGCGCCCCCGCCCCCCTGTCGGCGCCCCATGTCAGCAAGGGCATGACGGTGCAGGGGTGTTTGCCCGGGGCCCCCCGTCGGCCCCGCGCCGCAGGCGGCGGACGCTGTCAAATGCTTTGCTTTGCTTTGTTACAATCGTCTCGGCTAGCTAGACTCCTCCCGCCACTACTGTGACCAACCGGTGTGAAACAACAACAGGAGACAAGCGCAAACCAGCCGCCCAAGGCAGGCGGCAACACACGTAACAACATACAAGCCAAGATAAAGCTGCAGATACACAAACAGAGCAATGAGGGCGCACTGCACACTCCCAGGAGACATGCCTGGCCCTGGGCCCTGGGGCCTCTCCAGGGCACAGGCGGTCAATTGATTTGAT